TCATCAGTGAACTTGCTGAGGGTGCAAGTCCATCTTCAATCATAGCAAACTCTAAATGACAATTTTAATGTGCTCAATGGCCTTGTTAGCAATTAGAGTGCTACATTAAGGATTACTTCTGTATGCCACCTTCGATATCTTGCTAGCAGAAAAATTAACACCTTAGTCAGAAAATCAGGATATGTAGTCAATCGCTTGAACAAGTTTGACATGACACTTGTAAATCAGCTTTCAATTCTTTCTTGGATTGAAAGAGCTGTCATTCATCAAAGATCAATTTTCACACACCTTAATGTCAGTTACCATTAGCTGTAAATCTGTGTGGATGCAAATTGGATACATTCAAGCACTATAATTAATCCAATTTAAAGCCAGTGATTCCTTTATAAAATTACGATTGTACTTTTTGATCAACTTTTAATGTATTGTCCTCTGACAAAAAACTGATTGATACGATACCAGAAATCACATCATTTATTTACACGTGCAGGAGATGAGTAAAAACAATAGAAGTGTGAAAATCTGTGGATTCAGGAATGCACTCCCCTCACAGATCTGACATACAGTTGCTTTCTGTAGCAGCACATTCCTCAGTACTCCTGCATGGCTTTTCTTGAACTTTTGATGTTGGTCACAACTGCACATCTTTTGTTAACACTCTAAGCTTCTGGCATGTACTAACCATAGGATACACTAATAGATTCACAACTGCATTGACTACTTTCCCCTAAAAATCTCCTTTCTGTAACTCCAATTCCTAAATTACATGCCCTGTCATATCACATGGACTACCCCTCACTCCTCCTTTCCAGCCTCTCCCAGGCAATTCAGACACGACATCTCCCAGTTCACACTGCTTGTACTCACAGCTGCATTCTCAACAGGGCAGGTATGTGCACACACCTGGGCCTTCCAAACATGCAGGACAACCATGACTCCACTGAAGGTCAGCACACAAGCAAGAAACACAGCGTCCCCAGTTTGCTACACGAAGACTGGAATACTGGGTACTACATCCAGGAACATCCTGCAGCTGTGGAAACATCAGGGCCTGAGATGGCCATGCTTAAACGGATGCAGGGTAACAGGTCAGGACAACACATGGAGGAACCAGAGAGGTTGGCATTAGTATCATCTCAGGGTCTCCCAATCAGGTGTCTGGCCAGAGCCTCCTGCCCTTGCCTATCTCTGTGACTTCTTCTCACGTCCTCTGCATCTCAGGCACACCCACTGGAAAAGCAGGAGGTAATAACAGGTGATCTATAAATCTTTCTGCATAGTCCAAGGACAAGATTTAGCCTTTCCTGCTGTAAACTGGACCTGGCTAGGCCTCCTGACAGGAGTACCTGAAGAGGGGTAAGGTATGGCAGCATCCTAGCACTCACAGACTGGAGTGCACAGTGAGGTCCTCTTCACCTCGACCTATGCCACACTTCTGAGGATGACAACCCCCAGTTTGAGAACCACTATGTTAGTAATAGGATGTGATCGTTAACAGGCCACATAATAATACAAAGTGCTGTATTTCACCCTTCTATTGTCTTGGCCCATCAAAAGAAAACAGCTAAGTCTTTCATATCCTAACAAATTTTTCATACTGAAAATAGAGTCCCTAAAGAATTGTGACTTTCCAAAGATAGCAGAAGTGTATTATATGACCATAAAGTCTTCACTGCAAATAACTCTCCAAATCCAAAGAAAGGTGCAACCACAGCACAGACAGGCAAACAGATGCTTTGATCCAACTACCATAAGGAGGAAAGACAGACGCACATTCTGCAAACAGCTGTGCTGGCAGAAAACACTATTGAACCATGTGCTCACCACTCCTCTCCTACTAGAAGTTACCTTGCTTAAAGATATGTCAAAACATGCAGAATTAACTGGAACAGTTTCAGTAGTGAGCCCTTCTACACTCTTAATGAAGCAGGTCAGAGAGCACAAACAGGTCTATTAGCAAAGCTGGCACAACAGCTACAGGAATGCTGAATTTAGTAACATCCACTATTGGTAGATGCAAACAAAATGGTAAACCCACAGTGCTGAGGTTTGAGAACAGACTAGGGAACACTGTACCAGCCCACTGAAAATTGCTGTAAACATGCCTGTGGCTTGCCTGCATTGAAGCCACACCACTATACCTTTGCTGCAGTAATGTAATCTGCATTACATAAATAACTTTAGCATACTAGTTACAATTCTGCCCTCAATTTGTCAGACAAACCCTGCACTATCACTTCAAAGTTTGTTGTTGTGGGCAGAAAAAAGTTTTCAGCACATGTCATCTAGCTCATCTAGAGCACAAACTCATCCGGTTTGCAATGTTTTCAGTGTTAGTGGCAAACAGAAAAAATTCCTCCCCTCTGTGGAAGGCCCTGTAAGTAAAGTGGAAATGCTAGGTAGGATCTAAAAAAGCACTTTAGTACAAGCCCCCTTGAAGCACCAGAGGATTTATGCCTCTGGACAGCATACACAGTATAAGAATACCATCTTGTTTGTATAGTTTGTATTACAAGCCACTGTCCAGCCAATTAGTTCCTACAAATGAACTGGTTACCCAGGCACTTACCTGATATAGCAACCCTTGCCGGGCATGCCATCCGGTCTTTTGTCCCATTTCCTGAACACCTGCCAAAAAAAGAAGAAAAGAAAAATGAGATTGAGATCAGTGCCTTTAGACTTCTAAAACTCAGCCTTTTAAACATTAAAAAGTGTCAGGGTTTTCATATTACAGCTCATTTCAAACACTTTTCTTTAAAGTTAATTTTGGTGTCTCTGGTTTAAGACGTGAGTCATTAGTTTCTTAAAGATAATCTGAAATGAAGGTACACCATCAGTTTTCTTAATTCCCTAGAAGATTTTACTCCAAAGCTTATGTAACCTGGGTATTAAAAGACAAGTAGATTCATCTTCCTTGTCTGTTCCAGCTCCACTAGGATCAAATACATTATCAACTTTTTCCCTTCTGTAGATATCAATGAATATGCAACTTAATTTATCAGTTCTATTAGTTGCTAGAGAAATGCCTCCTCCTCTGTTAACAGAGGCTAATTATAAAATGTTGCACTGCTGACACTGTGATTTACATGCAGGCAGAGTGTTTGTTAAGTAGCCAGGGTATAGACCTCAAGGTCAACCTTGAATTGAGCCAAAAAACTCTGAAAAAAACGAGTAACAAGAGTGCTCTCCTTATATCTGCCACTGCTCCTAGCACCTAACCAAACAAAGAGGAATTAAAATTTCTAGCTTGACCAACATCATGACTTCCAGAGGCAGTTACATCTTCAGAACTCACATGTTACAGACCATGTAACAAGAAACAGGAACAAAAGCCACTTGAAAACCCTAGACTCTTCTTTCTTAGCCATTCCAGTCTTGAGCAAGTACTGAAAAAAGACCTGCAAATAGACTATCAACTACCAAAGACACAATTTAACTGATAGAGAAACAATTCTAGAGCATGGACCTCTTCTAATGACCTCCACTGGAAATACCAAGGACGTCTTAAGACAGAACTCGAAGCAATGCATGACAGCCACAAATGAAGCAAATAATACAGCTGCTCAGACACAGCTCCAAAGATCTCTGCCCTGTTCTGGACATGTGCCATCACCATTCCGTGGTCATTGACAAAGACAAGGAGTAAATCAGCATCTAAACATACTGGATATCATTCCATCACTGAAACCACAAATAATCACTATAAAGGTAAGAAAAAGCAATACAACTGCAATAACTACAGAATACCACACACACGATTTGCTAGTTTTCAAAATCAGCTTTCAGAAGAGTTGATAGAAAATGCAGCTCTTTCCTCCAACAAATTTCTCCTGTAAGACCACATTTCTGAAAGGAAAAAGTGGCAGAACTGTTCCTACAGATACAATTAACTGGAGCCAAGCACATACTTGAAGAGTTTCTATGTTAAACTGCAATGGAATAACATGACAGCAAAAGTGTCTCTGCACCATGGTTCCCAACACTGCACCAAAAGTATATTCTCTTAGACAAAAAAAAAGATAGCATTGTTCAAACAAAACACATATACTTTAGCTCCTTCGAGTTATAATGGGAGACTGTTATCAACTAACTTTTCTCCCTGTTAGTGCTGCATGTATCACTTTGCTGTAGCTCACAGGACTGGGCAGCAGAGGGTACCAGCTACCCACGATGATTCTGTCGTTCCAGGGCCCTTAATAGCAGCAGAAGGAACGGGAAGCAGAAATAGGTGTGCTCTGACTTTGACAGCTTTGTCTTGTTCTCTCAGACTCGGTTAGGCACCGTTTTGTAGGTTAAAGATAATCAAGAAAATACGTCGATTGTGTTACCTGACACTGAATTATGGTTTCATGTCAATAATAAAATCTACCCAGAAAAATACGATTGCATTTAATTTTCAAAAATAAAAAGAAGATAATGGAATGGAAACGTAATAAAGTAACATTTTAAGGCAGCAGCAACTTGTGTTTGTATGGGGGAAGAAAGAAGGAGAGGTCTAAACCCACTTTCCTAGACAGGCAGCTAAAATTTCACGTAAGTAAACGTCTCCTTCATACTGCTCTCCCTGAATCTGAGCTGCTACTCACCACTCTCCAGTCCTGCATGGGATCAGCTCTTCCTTCTGGCTCTGGAGCTGTGTCCTGTACACCTGTATGCGAGCGTTGCAAACCATCAGGTTTTTAACTGCGCGCAGGAGTTGGTCCCTCTGCGTGCTCACTGCCAGGAGCTTGCAGATGCCTTCTCGCATGCGGATTTCAAAGTCAATCTTCTCTTGGATGTTGCACTCCTAGAGATGCCAAAAACCAAAGGATGAAACAAACAAACAACTGACAGAGTCCTATATTTTTAACAGGCTAATTATATGCAGCTATTGCAATGGTTGTTGAACATAGAAAGATGATTTTCTCTTCAGGAAACAAAAGACTAAAATGTGGGATATAACAGATTAGCTATATCCATTACACATGCAAATTCCAGACCAGGTAGTAACATTAACTCCCTGTAGCTTCCGAAATTTACTAAAAATTTATGAGCCTCCATGTGCCAATTCATAGCATAACAGATGGTCCTTGAGAGGGCTGAGCACAGCTTATACATTAACACCCCACTTTTTACAGCAATCCCAACCAAAATAAACCAAAGAAAATGCCTGAAATATTTGAAATCAGAAATTCAGTCTCATTACTTCTATGGCCATTTAGAAAGAGTTAAGAAAATGTGGGTTTTTTCACTTCTGGTTGATTGAAAATTCAAGTAACAGCAGAAACAAAAAACAAAAAGGAGACTATCCCAATACTCAATTCTTTCAGGCTGAAAGTCAGACACCTGTGGTAGCTTCAACACTATAAAGAGATCACACCATGTACACCTTTTATTCTAAGTATAAAATAAGTCACTAGAATTTCACGCTGCTGTTTTTTGAAGAAATGGGTTTTTTCTAGGTATTATAAAAACTATCAGGAAGTCAACTTTTTCCTGTCAACATTCAGAGAAAACAAACATTTATAAACATGCATTCTTGCTCACTTGCCTTTTCAAAAGGCACGTCAAGCCAGAAAACAATTACGGTGGAGGATCACAGGCAGTTTGCTGCCTTCCAAAAGCATGCTAAATGCCCTTGATGACTGATACACATTTCCCTGTCATGTGGCCATCCCTGGCCAAACCAAATCCTTCTGGCTCATGAAGAGCTGAGTGCTGTCACTGTATTGCAGAGTTGCATTGCAAATACATTGCAAGTTAGCGACAAGTGAAACTTTTTCAACACTAAGCAAGACTGTC